CCCCCCCCCCCAGGGGGGATGGCCACTCCGCAATCCCTTCTCCATACTCCTCTCAGGATCTTGGGCACGCACGCACACGCACCCGGCGTGAGTTTTAAGCCACCGGGTCCGGGATGCGAACCACGGTCGACTATGTGGGAGTCCAGCGACATAGCCATTATGCTAACTGCTGGTCCCAAGAGAAAGGTATTTTTGATAAGGTCACTTCATGTTAGGATTCTGCCCCACCCTCCCAAGGGCTAGGATTACAGGTATGTGCAACCACCCCACCATGTTCAGGTTGGCCTAGAGTATGAACCCAGGCCTCCAATGTGGCTTCTAGCCTCCTGAGCAGTGGTGGTGTTTTTGCACAACCATGGCTGGGCCTCTGATACATTTCATTTAATCCCAGTTCTTTTAAAAGTTTGGATTCTTTCTTGATTTGCAAAGTTTGATTTATAAAGTGGAAATTTATTATTTTTTTACTTCCTTGTCTTACAGACTTTTACATTAAATAACTTCTTACTGACTTGCATCATTCGATTAGAAGACATAACTCAGTTATGTGCCCCAGTAGAACTGAGGAAAGAATGTGCTCTCTGTAGTTGTTGAAGATTAGCTTTGCTTCCTGAAGGTAACAACCTAAATAACTCCACAGAGATCTTTTTTTTTTTTTTTTTTTTTGAGAGGTTTTTCACTATAGGACGCGTGTGCTCGCCAGAAAGAGAGATAGAAAGCGAGAAATCACCCCTCAGGAGGGATGGCCACACTGCAATCCCTTCTCCACTCTCCTCTTGGGATCTTGGGCACGCACGCACACGTGCCCGGTGTGAGTTTAAGTCGCCGGGTCCGGGACTTGAACCACATTCGACTACATGGGAGCCCAGTGGCATAGCCATTACGCTAACTGCTGGTCCCAGAGACCATTTTTCTTTATGTAACAGGTGATTTCTTTGAAGAAGTTCATATTCTTTCTTCAGAGACACGGTTTTGCACATATACAATAGGAGAAATGAACATTAATTTATAGGTTAAGTCTGAGGTATGCCAAGAAATTTGGAATGCATATTGGCCTGGTTAAATTGGTATGACAACCGTCACTCAAAAGCCAAAGTTAAGAACAACTTCTAAAAGTAGTAGCTGCATTTAAATACTTGCCAGTACTTAAATTTCCTCATACTTCCTAACTGTACTTGCTTCACTCTGCAGTAGAGCAGACTGCACCATGTCAGCTTAAGAATTTTGAAATTTTCTACACATGAAATAAACCAAATGTTCATGTGTAATATTCACGTCTTAGGTTTTGTGCAGATCAAATTATGTGTGATATCTGGAATAAAATATTTTAAAGACATGTTAAAAACTCACAAAAATTTAAATAGAAGAATATCATAAGAGTACTAGTCACCAAGGATTTTCTAATCAACGTTAAGACGCCCTTTAATGGATAGTCAGTTTATAAAGTAAAAACACCATGTTTAAAATATGTAGCTCTTAATTAAAAAAATTTAACTTACCTCATTTGTACTTCCCTGTGGCAAAGGCAATTTAAAAAGGAGAAAAGAGAAGTATATATCCTGCTTCATTAATAGCATTATGATATTCAACTTTGTTTACAATATTAATATGTGAGCACTTAAGAACAAATATCGAGGCAGATTTTTCAGTTTACGTGGTCTTCTATGAGAAACTTGGAGGACCTAATTCTGTATTTCTTAGATTTCATCTTATCTTAGACAGGTTTAAACATTTACCTCAAATAGTCCCTTTTTAGCTTTTGATAGTGATGGGCTCAAAGAATTCAGTTTTCATCTCCATTTCTCATCATGCAACCACTAGTTTATCTCAACTACAATAGATTCTTCAAAGGCACATGTGAAATCCATTAGTAATTCTATTTTAAAGACTGTGTACAATTGTGCTCTTGATGCTGGAGAATTTAGCTATTTACAGATCATAAACATTCAAAACTTTTAAATTCAAAATTTTATGAAGAATCACAACTTTAGCTTCACTAAGTTTCCCTAAATTTTTGTGCGATAACTGGACACTTCCAGAATGGTGGTGAGTTAATTATTATTCTTAGCGTATTTATAATTGTTCCTACTGCCCAGGTTGGTTACTTGGACAGTGGGTCCTGGTGGCCTGTCCTCTTGAGACATGGCCAGTTGGACCAGAAAAGACAGCTGACTGATCTATCCACAGGTTGACCACTGACTCACACTATGACCAGGTATGAAAGTCTACCTCAAATAGAGATAATCTGGAGTAATCCATAATTGCTTTCAGGAACTTATACTAAAAAAATAGTGATATGTTTTATGACGATTCATACCTAAAAACAATCCAATGTTCATCAGATAATAGGTTCTAAATAATGAGGTAATGTTAACATATAATTGAATCACAATCAGCTAAACAAAAACTTTTCTTATACTTCTTGAACAGCTTTAACATTCTCTAGAGTAAGGAAAAGTAAACATACTACTTAATCCATATATTTTTTAAAAAATATCAAAATGTTAACTGGATGACAGTCATGCAGGACCTCATCTATCGTGCTACAGTTAGTTGTGTCTTGCCATCTTGTAAAATGCTTTTAGACCGAGAGCCCAAGTCCTATCCATATGTCCCCTCCATCTAATGCAGTGCCTGGTACCTAGGTGACATTCAAATGTATGCTGAACTGTGTTGAAGAGCATGTAAGGTCTTCCTACCTGGTCCCACAAAGCTGCAGCCACCTGGTCTATTACAGCCCCCAGCTCCCGGTATTCTCCGGAGTAGCGGATGTACGCCCAGGTGCACAGGGTGATGAGGGTCAGTCCCATGATCATGTTGCACAGGCTAGCTATGATGTCCAAGCCGATGAATCCAGTCACACCAGCAATCACATACGTGATGAAGATGACAACAAACAGTGTGGCTGGAGTACGAGCTGCATGGAATATGTTTTTGCTATCATTGTGCTTGATATACTGGATGTAAAGTTCATCTATTTCACTCTCCAACTGCTGCAAGTAACGCCGGCTGAATTCTTCCCCACCCATCTTCTTGACGCCTCGGAACAGCTTCACAGACTCTTCCTTAAGCTGCAGATGTTTGGTCTGCAGGTCATTAGGGGCCAGAAATGGTTTGTCACCACCACAAATCTGTATCAGATAGAGAAGGATTTGATTATGCAATACAGAGTAAAATTAGTAACATTTCCACCTACCTAGGTGAGTTTATAGGAGCAAGTAATTAGAGAGGGCTTGCCTATGTGCCAGTTCGTTATTTTTTTGCCTCCCAGATCTGTGAGATGGCAATACATGCTGGTCCTCTTACAGTGGCTCATATAAAGTCATTATTAAATTTTATTATTTTTGACATGGAAAAGAATTTCCATGATTCCTCAAAAACCCACAGGGTGAAAAGGCATAACAACATCAAGTGCAAAGTGAGTTCCTTTCCAGAATGATTCCAAATGTAAGAAAACTTACATTCACGTTCCTCTAGGGCACCTCACAGCACAGAAGTGATTTTGACCAAATTAAGTTTAATTTCAGACAATGATCAATGCTATAATATTCTCAAAGTAAAATTGTGAAATGTGTTTCTTTGGCAGTTTCATTGATTTTTGTTTGAATGGGACCTATTGAGCACTTTCTTCTAGAAACTAAATGGGAGCACATTAAATGTTCTTGGACCACACTTCTAATTTTTTTTTTTTATCATCATAATCTTCTTTATATTACATTGGATTACATATAACTTTACAGTGTATTACATTGTTTTTTCAAAAGGGAATGCCATGCATGTTAGTCAGTACAGAGGCATTAATCTCCCCACTTCAACATTCCATATCTTTTCTATGTTTTCCCCAATCATTATTTTTATTATTCTAATTATTTTTTAAAACAGTCAATTGCTATTTCTCGTTTTACTTGTAAAAATACTTTGCCCATCATGGAATACTTCGCAGACCAACCCAGTGGAGAATACTATACATGTCATCATCAACAGTTAATAAGCCCTATCTGTTTCCACACCTAATTTTTTGAAAAGTTACAGGGAGATCTCGGTTAATCTTGCCATCTACTTGCGTTGAGATTTGACCGCAGTTAGAGTACTCTTGTTCTGATTGCCCCTCATTTACCCTGTAAACACCATTCCGTATATGCTGTACTGAAATGATTCTAAGACTGTTCATTTTGGATGTAATTTTGATTTCATAACATTTTTCAGGGAAAAATAAAAACCTATCACATTAGTAGATATACACAATAATAACTCCATCTTAATTCAGAATGTTAAAAAGAGGAAATACTGGCCCTCAAGTTTTGATTACTTTTTACTATTAGGTTTTAAGACAAATAATGGAATTATGGAATGTAAGGAGGTGTAATAGAGAGGGTGGCAGATCTTATAAATGATAGGAAGATCTGACCCCCCCCAAATGTAAATAGGGATGGTATAGAGACAATTCACTTAAGATCTTTAAATTGTACATATATAATGTTTTTAAAATATTTTAGGACTGGAGTAAGTCGATGTGTGATCCACATAGGCTGAGAGAAAAATAACTCAAAGCCATTTCTTTTCATGTGTAAACAGTGTGATATGGAAGAAAAAAAGAATAATTCAATAAAAAAGATACTGATTTTACTTAAAACATTACTTAAAGTTATACTAATTCTTACCTCTTCCATTTTTTTGTTGTACGTGTCCTTGGCAGTCGCCACGGCTGCTAAATTGTTAGCTTCTGCTGTGGCCTTTGGACGAAGTACAAAATATGATGTAAAATGGAGTTCATATTTATTAAACTCCCACAGGCAGTTCACATTTCAGAGCATCACATGCAAGAAATGCTCAAGAAACCCACATCATCAAATACTGTGAAACTTGAAACATCGCCACTACATTTTTCCAATTAATAAATTTTCAAAAGCATATGGGGCCAGCAGGTGGAAAGGTGGTGGTGGCTGACCACAGTTTGAGTCCTGGACCTGGCAGCTTGAAACTCAACACCAAGCAGGTGTATGTGCATGCCCCAAATCCCAGGAGGATAATGGAAAAGGGACTATGGTATGGCCATCCCCCCTGTGGGAGGTGATTTCTCATTTTCCCTCTCACTGTCTCTCTTTGTCTCTGGCCAACACTCACTCCCTATGGCAAAAATCTTTAAAAAAATTTTTTTCAAAAGCATAAAACAGATATTTACTCAATAAACCATAATTTCAAAATGAATTTTGATTTGAAAGATATTTCCTTTCAAAAAATATTTCTAAGCCTCTTAGAAATTACTATAAACCCAAGTGCATGGGAAATAATATATAGAACTTTATATATGCTAACATTTGTAAGTTTAAGGACTGCTGCTGATAGGACAATGTATTACCGATAACACAAAGGAACCTTATGAGCTTAGGTGTTTAAAACAGGTAAGGAAAATTACTTTCTCCCCTTTGATGTTTAATTGTGGAGGCCACTTGTTGAAAACTTGGACTTGCCTTTCTACTTATTGTTACACGTCACAACATGAGTTAGTTTCCTAAATAAAGTACAAAGAGAATGAAAATCCTTTGGTACAAAGTGTATCTATCTCGATGTATAAAGGGTTCTATAAATGTGTGTGAAAAATGCTTAAATGCACCCACAAATGGATAAAGTTAACAGGCAAATCTCCCAATAATTCATTCAGTCCAATATTTTTATTTGGTAATTTCTGACAGCCAGATTGGCACCTATTATGAATACAAACAAGAAGGAAAGCTTAGCTTTAGTGACCAGTATGGTTTTGTCTTGTTTTGTTTGAATGTTGTGAGATCCATCCTGCCCCATCCTCTCGGTCAGCCAGGACCACAGGTGCGTGCCACCGTGCTGGCCTGTTTTAGGTTGAGCTGGAAGCCAAATTCAGGCCTCTCATGGGTGCTCAGCCAGCATGTGGTAGGTGCCTCTCATTTGTACCATGTGGCTAGGCTGAAGACTTGATAGGGCCAGCAGGTGGCGTGGTGCTTATTAAGGCACTGGACTTCCATATGGCCTACTATGGTTTGAGTTCTGGACCTGGCAGCTTGCTTTTTCACTTTCCCTTTCTCTCTGGTTGAATTTTTAAAATAATAATAAAATAAATAATTCTTTAAAAAAAAAACCCTTGATTAATAAATACCTGTAACATGGATTTGGGATGTGGTAATTCTTCACCTTGATAGATCTTTATATAAGCCTAAAAAGAAAAAGACTCATAGTCAAGCAATCCCAGTTACTATTCCTCTAATTCTGTTAAAATGTATTCTAAGGTTTTGACATTTCAAAAAAATTTTTTTCTTAGAATTTGTGTTACCTCTTTCTCATCTTTTAGTTTCCTTATTTTTTCTAGGAATTTGTAAGTGTTACCTCTTTCTCATCTTTTAGTTTCCTTCCTTCTCAGTTCCTCTTCTTTCCTTTCCTGACATGCTCTTTCACACATCTCTACCTGCTAATCCCACCCTCTTTAAAGGCTCGTGCAGAGGCATCGCCTTTAAAACTCTCTCAGGTTCCAGGGACCAGCAGATGGAGTAATGGTTATGTTACTAGACTCCCGTGTAGTCAACCATGGTTCAAATCCCAGACCCGGTGACTTAAAACTCTTGCTGGGTGCATATGTGTGTGTGTGTGTGCCCAAGATCCCAAGAGAATGGAGAAGGGATAATGGTGTGGCCATCCCTTGGGGAGGTGCTGTCTGTCTCTGTCTTGCTCTGTCTTTCTGGAGAGTGCACGTGCCCTATAGCAAAAATCTCTCTATGAATAAATTTTTAAAAATCTCTCTCAGATCCATGGTTACCCCCGGTAATCTGTGCCCTGCTGGTGTCATAAGCTTTGTGGACCATTTGTGTAAGAGTAAGTTGTAAGCTCCTCCATGGTGTTACACAGAGAGGAAAATTCTAATTGTAGGTAATACTGGGTTATTGGAAAAGTCATGACACATTTTTACATAGAAAAAATACATCATGACTTTTTTGACAACCCAATGTATTATTTATTATTAAGAGTAATGGAAGTACATCACACAGGAGGTATATCATAATATTTTAATGACAAAATATGAATTTAAAATTGATATCTTAGTCCTTGGAGCATCTATCTGCAAATCAAATGTTGGTAACTGAAATTTTTCACTGTATAGGTGGTTGGTAAAAAAAAAATACTTGGTGCTACTTGAGATAAACAGGTAAATGCAAATGTAAAGTAATTCCACTTAAAACGGGTCCTTGGTGCAAAGAGCAGGAAATGTGGAAGAATGTTCTTAAGTAGCAAGGTATGGACCTTTTGGGAATATCCTCAGATGAAGGTTATTAATTAGGAAATTAATTATAAATCATGGACCAACTTTGAATCATCCTCCCCTAAAAAAAAGACTTTTCCAACTCTCAGATACATTCGTATTTCAAAATATATTCCCCTCAAGATAAAAAGCAACAGTAAAGTTGCCTATAAGTTCCTCAAAAAATAATTTCAGAAAGCAAGTTTCTCTGTGCAGTTTCATAATTTTTAAAATCCTTCTTGTAGATTCCTTATACCTTTGTTCCCATATTACAGAGTCTGCTATTTTTGTTTGTAGGAACTACATTCCAATACATGTCAGACCTAAGTACTCACAAGTGCTCTAGAAATGAGAGTGATACCTTGAAGTACTCCACCAGGCCTCGGCAGGTGATTTTATTCCCATTGATCTCTTTAATATCTAGGCTCTCGGGACTAAGTAGCCAAGGAATCAGTATTTTCAAGTTTTTGATGAACTCATCATCTATTTCTACAAGTAAAAGCAAATCCGTCATTACTTTTAAAATTCTATCCATTCCTCAGTGTCATAAAATAAAACATCCTTTGACACACACCCCCACCCCACCCACCCACCCCGTGTTACTGCTGTAACTCACTTTCCCGTCATTTAAACAATCCCCGAAGCCTGCTTTTCTCTGGGTGAACGATTCTCCTAGCCCAGACTTCCAGTACTGGTCTCTCTCATCGCTGCTCCAGTTGTTGGGTTATCAGGAAAGTCAGGATGCATTTTTGCATACAAAAACATAGAAAAATGCCTCGTGCTTTTTCACAACAACCTAATACATTGCTATCTTGCCTTCCACCTATAAAATAGCTTTCTTGATATTAAATGTTCTACGTACATTTACAACCGGTTTGTATAACCATTCTGTGTAGTATGATGTCTTTTTCTGGTTTTGTATTTATCAGCTCTACATGGGGAAAAAGCCACATGTTTACACATTCCTTCCAGAAAGTCCATCCCCAAACTGCTCTGCATTGAATGTGCCCGCCTTATAAGAAGTAGGCAGAACTGGGTAAACTGGGATCACTGGGCCTCCAGAATTCAAAAAGATGCTGCTGCTGCTGCCTCTAGTGGTGGAACTCAGTGACACAAAGACACGGCAAGAAAAAGCACCAAGGCCCACAGCAGATCCAAGGGGTCTGGATTGTTTACCTGTCACTGCCTGGTAGCATTGATTTCACACGGCCCATGTTATACTGGTAAGTTCGAGCTCGGCATAATGGGCTTAACAAAGCAACACAGAAAATGAATCTTCAGAGAAGTCTTGTGATTTCTTCAGAGGAAGAAGACAATCTTTAGAAGAATCTTTTGATTTTCCTTAAATCATTTTTTTTGTAGAGGTTTTTGCTATAGGGTGCACATGCTCACCAGAAAGACAGAGACAGAGACAGAAAGCAAGAAATCAACCCAACATCCCCCCCCCCCAGGGAGGATGGCCACGCCACAATCCCTTCTCCTCCATTCTCCTCTCGGGATCTTGGGCACGCACACACACGCGCCTTGGCATGAGTTTAAGCCACCGGGTCTGGTACTCAAACCACGGTCGATTACATGGAAGTCCATTGACATAGCCGTTATGCTAACTGCTGGTCCCAAATCATTATTTTAAATGGACGGGAAGATACCTGTGTATTAAAGTCAAGATACATCCAGTGCCTTGGTTACTAAGTAAATGCAGTAACTGCCTATAATTTTTAAAATTTGGATTTCAACAGCCTCTGAGTTTTCAGGCTTTGAAAACTGGTAATTTTAAGGTCTTCAGGATGAAGACTCAAACCTCAAACCTGAAATTCCTTGTCATTATAGCCCCAATGAGCACTGAAATACCAGTTTACATTAGAATGTGTCTCCTTCACTTGCTGCTTCGTAGCATGCACGAGCATGATGCTGGAGACCCTTCACACTTACTTTGTTGTGTTTTCTGCAGCTCTTTGAAATTCTAGTGACTATCATGGCTTATGGGTACAAATACAGGACTTTGCTCAGATTTATTTTGCTCTTTGCCTTACCTCAATGTTCAGTGATAATTTTGTATTATATATTGATTTTTTTCTTTTTTCTTTTTTTTTTTTTTGG